GTGAAATACAAGTTCATTGAGAGCCTCGGATTACAACTAGAGACAAATAAAAGGAAATATATACAAAAAGAGGCCTGGGCTGGGTGATGCCCTATACTATTTCTTTTAGTGGAGAAGACAAGGCAAGAAGACTGCCAGTAGTTGAGGCTGCGCTGGGCTACAGAGTCGAGCACAATACCAGGCAGGGATACATAGCAAGACCATGTCTCAAATTGAACAGAAGTGATGAAGCAGGTAAAAGAGAAATAGGAAATACAGAATGTAAGCCAAAGAAAAGTCTCATACGAGTGTCTCACTACAGAGCCCTGGCTGGCCTGGAACTCAAGCAAAGTCCACCTGCCTTTGCCTTCCTAGTTCTAGGAACAAAAAGGTGCCCCAACATCACCAGCCCTAAAGGAAAAGATTTCAGGGAAGAAATAGTTAACAGCAGAAACTGTGGCTTAAGTCTTATACAATGTATAAAACCACAGGATTTGGAAATCTGAAGGTCAATCATGAAACAAACAAACAAACAAACCCCCAAAACCCAACCTGTGTTCTACAATGTTCATTAAGAGGCAAGACTACAGACTGAGGATAACGGGTAAGTGGAAGAGAAAAAAGAAAATCTGTAGGGCTAGTAAGACAGCTAAGCGGGTAAAGGAGCTTGCCACTGACAACCAGACAGTGGAAAGTGAAAACTGACTCCCATGAGTAGTCTTCTGACCTCCACTGTGTGTTGTGGGAGATCACAAACCACAGACACATTAAAAAGCATGCACAAGGCTCAGGGTTCTCCAGCACAGCCAAAAATGTGTGTTCACATGTTAGTCCCAGCTACCCAGGAGGCTGGGACTAACAGGAGTTAAAGTGCAGCCTGAGCAACACTACAAGATACTGTTTCAAAAAATAATGTATAGATGATTAGTGCACTACAAGAACTACATACTATCAGAACTACTATAAAAATGATAAGTCTTGAATTTTAAATTTATAGTTCAAATACAACACATACATTTTCAGACATACATTCAACACAAAACTAAGCACATACTTCACATGCAGTCTTAATTAAAGAGTAATAGCATTCATGGCCAGTGAGCCACCTACCAAGTTCAAGACAGCTTTTCCTGCATGGCCATATCCCAACCCCCAAAATGACTGACAGCACTTAAAAGTATATTCAATATTTCAGAAACAAATCTGAAATGCAATTAACTTATTAACCTAATAAAACAATTTAAAGATATATACAGCACATACTAAAACAATTCAGTCATGAACATTTTATTCCAAGTATCAGTATAAAATTATGAAAAGGGACGAACACGGTAGTCCATATCTTTAATTCCAGCATTCTGGAGGTGGAGGCAGGTCGATCTCTGTTAGTTTGCTAGTCTAGTCTACAAAGGGAGTTCCAGAACAGTCAGAGCTATTACACAGAGAAATCCTGCCTGTAAAATAAATAAATAAATCTAGTAAAAATAGAAGCACAGAGTACCATGTAACATTCTTTAAAACAAGTAAACAGGCCGGAGAAATAGCACTTCTTCAAGGGTACCAGAGTTGGAGTCCCAATACAACAGGGAGGATCATAATACCTGCAATTCCAACTCCAGGAGAATCCATTATCTCTGGCCTTTGGGGGTGTCTGCACTTGTGTGCACACTCATGATCTCACACACCTGTACACACACATAACCTACATACATACACACACACACACACACTTCAACATATTTTAAAGAGAAAAAAAGCAAGTAAACAAAGACTATCAGAGCTATCATATAACAGATTCTCTGAAAGAAGTCAAGCAAGAGAAACCTTAAAGTCCTTCTCTGCTGCTGTAAAGGACAGGAACAATAAAAAGGAAAAGGAAGGAGCTGACAACACAGATCTCAATAATGTAGAACTTGTTATTTTGGACACAAGATGCTTTCCTAGCTATTTACATTAATCATGCCTGAGTGACAAATTCAACTGCTAATTTGAAAATCGATGGAAATGAACAGTACAATGATCAAACACCACATAGGGAACTAGTGGGTTATCAAGTAAGCACAAGCCTCAATGCATTTTTTAATGAATACTTTAACCTCAGTCTACCCACAGAGATTATTAAGTAGATATCACACTGTATGCCCACAAAACTCTGGATCCAAGTATATTAAAGTAGACTCTACAAATTTAAAAGAAACCACAAGCAATTTTGACAAGCTTTCTGAAAGTTGTAATATCTAAAACACAAAAGTATTCTTAAACATAATTTTAAAACTACCAAATCAACTAAAAGTGTCAAATAAAATATGTAAAAAAATTTAAGTTTAACTTAACCCACTTTGTGGAATAAAATAAGTTTCCTGGCTTGCTGGGTATGGTGGTGTAAATCTTTAATCCTGGCTCTTAAATGACAAAGCAGATAGATCGATCTCGAAGAAAGAAATCCTCCTAGCTCAACATAGAGAGTTATAGGTAGCCCAAGAATACAGAGACTCAGACTCAAAACAACCACAACACCAAGCAGTGGGGACTCATGCCTTGGATCACAGCACTGAAGAGGCAGAGGCAGGTGAGTATCTGAGTTCAAGGCTAGCCTAGTACCAGGCTAGCATGGGATATAAGACCCTATGTCAAAACAACAACAAACAAAAAACAATTAGAGTCTGGAGAGATGGCTCACGGTTAAGAGCACTGGCAGCTCATGCAGAGGACCAGGGCTCAGTTCCCATCACCACGTGACGCTCATGACCATCCTGACTACAGGGATCCAATGCTCTCACACACATGTGGTACATACAGGCACACACATACAAACAGAATAACTATTAAAAAACACATACACAAACACACACAGCTGGGTGTGATAGCACACACCTGTAATCCCATCATTTGGGAGACAGTCAGGCCTGGTCTACAGAGTTGAGTTCCAGGACAGCTGGAGACAGAGAAATTCTATCTCAAAACAAAACAAAACAAAAAAATCTACCACAAAAAATTACTGGTTTAACTACTTGTCTTGCAATCTTTCTGTCAGTGAAACAATATTATTTTTAATGTTTCTTTTATATTCTGTTTGAGATGGACTCTATGTAGCTCTGGTGATCCTGGAACTCTCTGTAAACCAGGGTGGCCTGAACTCACAGATGTCCTCCCGAGTTCTGGGACTAAAGACATATGCCACCACACACCCGGGTATTTTTCATTTTTGAGTGAAATTCTTTATAATCAATGTAATAAAAACTTCACTGGTTCAAAACCAAACTGAAAATTCATGCTTATTTGAACACCTTTTCTACATTAATCAATCTTCCCGTTTCAATATCACTCCTTCCTAAATTCACCAAAAGTGCATGGTATGTGTGTGTATAATAATGAACAATGTTGCTTACATCCGAAATTCCTATGTCTAAAAAAACAGGTGCAACGTTCAGATGCGTGCTTTTTTTTTTTAACCTCCTGTGCTTAAATTATACCCTGGAAAAGAACTTACAACTAAATACATCTAGCCTACAAGTCAACCCTTTCAAAGAGACGCAGCAATTCTAAAAAGTCAAGGCATAAGCCCGAGAAACTACTATCTTCCAAAAGTTAGGACAACTCAAGTCTATCGGAGGTCCACATCAAATGGACATCCAGCTTCGTTTTAGCTTGTACCAAACCAAAAGTGCGTTTTACTTCTAATTAAGACCAATTCTCTCCGCAGACATTCCGTAACGACAGCACAGATGGTCTAGTTCTGCTCCGAATGACTAAAAACAAGGGCTAGAAGGAAAGTCTAGAGAAGCCAACTCAAACAAAAAGGGAAAAATTCAGTTAAAAGTGATGATGAATCACTCAGCGCTAAAGGAAAGGCGAGTGAGCAGAGCGGCATCCCGGGTATTTAAAAGTTGGGGGTGGGAATGCAAACTTCGCCGGCGGGCCGCAGGCCATTGTGCGAGGTCGTCGCCCGGAGCGGCGCGGCTGTCAGGGGGCAACTGCACGCGGCGGCGCGGAGGAGGGGGCAGGACGCCACATCGGAAGGGGGGTGCACCCGGGGCCAGGAGGCAAGACCCTCATGGCAGGCCCCTCTCCGCGTCCTCTCCACCTCAAGAGGACAAGCCCGCGCCGACTCAGTGCCCGGCGGACCCAAGCCAGACGCTCGCCCGGAGGCGCCGGGCCCAAGCCCCGGAGGCCCAGTAGGCGCCGCCGGAGGAGCCCCGCAGACGCCATGCTAAAAGCCAAAATGGCTGCCCCGAGGATGCCCGCAGCGCGCAGCCTGTGAGGAGGGAGCCGGCCGCCGCGGGAGCGGGGGAAGGGGCGCCGGGGACGCGGTCGTCGCTCGCCGGCCCGAGCATCTCAGGTAGGTCCCCTCCGCCCGTCAGGGGCGCGGGCCCCAGCCCCGGCCGGGCCCCACCCCCGGGCCGGCGCCCCTGCCCCTGCCCCTGCCCCGGCCCGCACTCGCCCCCCGCCGGGTACCTGCAGTTCGGCCCGCTCCACCTCCCAGTGCGCCCGCTCCATCTCGAACCGAGCCCACTCGTGCTGGATGTAGTGCAGGATCCCCGGGATAGTGTACTGCTGCGGCCGGGACAGCTCGGGGCCTGCCGGGGGGACCCGCCGCCTCGGCGGCCGCCGGACCCCCAGCGCCCGGCGCTCCGTTCGCTCCCGGCGGAAGGCTCAGGTTCCCCCCGGGGCCCTGCTGCGGCCGGGGAGGGGCCGCCATCCCCTGGCCGCCGCCGCCGCCTCCGGCCAGCTCGTCCATTGTGTGCGGGGCCCCGGCCGGGGCGCAGAGCGAGACCCCGACAGCTGCGGGGAGGCCCGGGACGGTGGCCCCGCGCCGACGGCAGGGCGGGGGCCGGCCGGGAGAGGGCCGGGGAGGGGGGGGTCGCCGCCGCGCGCTCGCCGCCGATCAGAGCAGGGAGCTGCCGGCCGCCGCCATTACAGTCCCTCCTCCATCTGCCCGTCTCACTCACTCACTTTGGGGAAAGGGGGGCCGCGGCGGGAGGGAGGGGGAGGGAGGGAGGGACGGGAGAGGAGAGACAGACGTAGGGCGGCCGCCGCGCGCGCACGGCACGCCGGGTAGGCGAGCGCCTCGGCGGCCGCACGCCGGATACCCAAATAAGAGTCCGGCCTCACCCTACGCAGGCGCACTAAGGAGGCGCCGCTCTGGGGGCGGGAGAAGCCTGGGCCCCGCCCCCGCCGGACGCCCCGCCCCCCTGCTCTCCGACTTGCGCCGGTGGAATCCCGGTATGTAGCCGTGACTTTGAGGAGCGCGTGGGCCTCGGGCTTCCGGGTTGTTTACTTCACGCAGACATCCTCAGGAGCAGCGTGGGCCTCCGCCGAAGGGCCCTCGCCTTCGGAGCTGGGTTCAGGACCCGCTTCGTATTGCCCCGGAATGCCTGACGTTTCCCTAGAATTCTCTGCGAGTTTTGCTCAATCAGCAAAGGGTCGAGCCTCTTTCTCTGCCTGCCACTCAACTTCGCCTCTGGTTTCGTAGCACCAGTCAGTCTCCAGGATTTGGGGGCGGCGGGGGTGGGGGCGGCGTTCACCTTTGGCAAGTGGCCCAGTTTCTTCCGACTTTCTCACTGGTTCCTGGGCTTCGCCGCGTCCTGCTTCTTGGGTCCCACTTAAGTGCTGCCCGCTGCCTGTTGTAACTTGTCTTCAGTCTTTATGAGATCGGTTGTGTTTGGGGGCGTTTAAGAGACTGTTTTCATTCTTTGACTGCCAGTAGAGGTAGTGAGGTCTTGACGACTGGGAAGGGTGGGTGGACGGGAAAAGATAACTTCCAAAGTCACCCGTAGATGGACTCTGATGTTTAGAAGTGAATGAAGTCAGATACTGCCATTAGTGGCAGAAATATTGATTGAAACAGAGAATGAGAGTATTGTGAATACAACTTAAAACGAAGTAAATCAACAACAACGGTATCTTCATCATTAAGTGGTTTGTGTGAAATAATACACACACAAAAGGTCAACTTTAAGTAGTGTGGTGTGCGTTTTTCTGTGCTTGGTTTCACAGGAATTATCCTCGTGAATTTACAATTTTTTTTTTTTTTTTTTTTTTTTTGGTTTTTCGAGACAGGGTTTCTCTGTGGCTTTGGAGGCTGTCCTGGAACTAGCTCTTGTAGACCAGGCTGGCCTCGAACTCACAGAGATCCGCCTACCTCTGCCTCCCAAGTGCTGGGATTAAAGGCGTGCGCCACCAACGCCCGGCGAATTTACAAGTTTTTAAAGTTAATACAACCAATAACCTCTCGCCCAGGCATGCATGGCAGCCCATGTTCTTAATCCCAGCAGATGGCTTGATCTCCGAGTGAGGCCAGCCTGATCTACTGATCAAGTTCCAGAACAGCCAGCAAAAAGGAAAAAAAAAGCTAATAACCATTTGTTTGCACAATAAGACAAAAGTAATATTTAACAGCATAATGAAAGATGTGCCATATTTACAGCTATACAGGACATTGCATATAAAATTGGTTGCGTTTTAAGCTTTTATTTTCATTATAAAAGCCTATAAAATATTTCCCTATGGAGCCAACTCAGGATGGAATTCCAGAGATAAAGCAATACACTTTGTCATGTCTGCTGTGTAGTTGTAACTAACGAGAGCTGGTTGGATCTGTTACACTAACTCTTACTGTGGTGTTTATGTATGAAATGAGGTCTTAGCTAACAACACAGTTTCTTTACATGATTAGAGTACTGCCTCTTCACTTAGTAGCAGTCAGCATACAGCTGGTTCACCCAGCCCTAAAGACTCAGAAATACCTTACACGCATCCTCAGATCGGTTCACGTAGACATTACGAAGCTCTTTCAAGGGCCTGGAGTCCACTTTCGTGATGACTACATCAAAAGAACAAGATGTACAATTATATTTCTCACTTCAGCTGATGGTAAGGCTGCTCCCCCCAAGGGAAACTGTTGCTCTCTTGCTGTCTTACTGGATGACGCTCTCCACACCTAAAGCCTAGCTGTACCCTAGTTCCTTCATTAGCCAGACATGCAGTTCTTTCTGAGACTCTTCTTTCCATTTCCGCTATTCCACACCGCTCCCTGCTGCCTGACTAGCTGTCTTCTAAGGCAGATTTGATTGTCAGCCTCTGCTTAAACGTTTTAGTCATCTTCGAATTTAGAACAGAGCCCAAGCAGGCTTCATGGTGGCACTGGTCTGTGTTCCCAAGGTTTGGAAGGTGGAGGCAGAAGGGTCAGAAATTTAAGATCATCGTAGTGAGCTTGAGGCCAGCCTGGGATATACATGGACCCACACTTCAACTTGTACACCCCCCTTCTCTTTGCCCTTAGAGAGTTTCCAGTCCTGATTTAAGTAAGTTATTTAATACCAACCATCCTGACATAATATCTTTGTGTAAGTATCTCCCTAAAGAACTTTTAAAATTTTGTATTCAAGTTTTCAAATTCCAGTTGGTTATGCATAGGTTAACCAGTTTTCCAGGTTTACTAACACAGTTGGTGGTGTTGGAGGGTTGTAGGCTGCTCAAGGGCAGAGTCCATGTCCCCACTGTTCTCACCTCTACCTATACACACTGCTGCGACAGACGCTGGCCCTAAATAAATGTTTGATGAGTAACTCGAGTTAGGACCTAATTAATATGAATATTTTCATACTCACCTCACTTTAGTCTTTAATGTTTTTATTTTGTTTGGCTTGGTTTGGTTTGGTTTGGTTTCGGTTTTTCAAGACAGGGTTTCTCTGTGGTTTTGGAGTCTGTCCTGGAACTAGCTCTTGTAGACCAGGCTGGTCTCGAACTCACAGAGATCCAACTGTCTCTGCCTCCTGAGTGATGGGATTAAAGGTGTGCACCACCACCGCGCAGCCACTTTAGTCTTTAATTTTTTTGTTTTGGGTTTGTTGAAACTGGGTCTCGCCGGGTGGTGGTGGCGCAAGCCTTTAATCCCAGCACTCGGGAGGCAGAGGCAGGCGGATCTCTGTGAGTTCGAGACCAGCCTGGTCTACAAGAGCTAGTTCCAGGACAGACTCCAAAACCACAGAGAAACCCTGTCTTGAAAAAAAAAAAAAACAAAAAAAAAAAAAGAAAAGAAACTGGGCCTCATATACTCCAGACTGACCTTGAACATGAGATGTGTTGCTGAGGACAACTGAACTGGTGCTCCTTTGTTTCAAGTGGTAACCAGTGCTCTTCTTCTTCTTCTTCTTCTTCTTCTTCTTCTTCTTCTTCTTCTTCTTCTTCTTCTTCTTCTTCTTCTTCTTCTTCTTCTTCTTCTTCTTCTTCTTCCTCTTCTTCTTCTTCCTCTTCTTCTTCCTCTTCTTCCTCCTCTCCTTCTTCCTCTTCTTCTTCTTCCTCCTCTTCTTCTTCCTCTTCTTCTTCTTCCTCTTCTTCCTCTTCTTCCTCTTCTTCTTCTTCTTCTGCTTCTTCTTCCTCCTCTTCTTCTTCTTCCTCTTCTTCCTCTTCTTCTTCCTCTCCTTCTTCCTCTTCTTCTTCTTCTGCTTCTTCTTCCTCCTCTTCTTCTTCCTCTTCTTCCTCTTCTTCTTTTCTTCTTCTTCTATTTGAGGGGAGTAGAGAGGTGATGTGTATGAGGAGTATACAAGCCTTGGGGCATGTATGGAGACAGAGGACAACCTCTGGTGTTTGTCCTTGCTTTCTACCTTGTTGGAGATGTACTGTCTCACTGTTAATTTTATGCTTCACGGGGAAAGCTGTGTGCATGGGAGAACAGGTGCTGTTGGATCCCCTGGAGCTAGAATTAGATGTGGTTGTGAGCTTGGACGCTGATAACCAAACTCTAGCCCTCTGCAGGAGCGAGCATGCTTACCACTCTCCTTTGCTGCTTTGTTCAGCAGGCTAGCTGGCCATGGAGCTTCCAGACACTGCCCTGTCTCTATCTTCCTTCTTGAAGTAGGAACACCGGGATTACAGACGTTTACTAGTACTTTCAGCTGTATGTGGGCACTGGGAAGCCAACCTCAAGGCCTCGTGCCTATCCCACAAGGGCTGAACCATCTCCTCAACTACCCCTCTCCCTCTGTGTGTGTGTTTGTTTGTTGGCAGTGTTCTGCTGTATAGCCCTAGTCTCGAACTCAAAATCCTACTGACATGGTTTTTCAAATACTGAGATCACAGCCAGGCTGGTAAAGGACTCAAACTGCCTGAGTATTAAAAATACAGTGGCAAAACTTTCTTCTGTATTGGGATGATGTTTTACATTACTAGCGTTGGGCTTCCTGCCCACTGCTTCTGAAAACACTGAAAGGAGTTTCTAGAACTTTAGACAATGAGTTCTCCCAAGCTGCAGTATCACAGTTCTACTTACCTAACTGGAATTCCCTCTCTGCTCCCTGGCTGAGTCATTTCCTCTCTTCAGTCCCTCTTTGAAACTTCCTCTTGGTTCTGTCCTCTCAGCAGTTCTCATTGCCCCTGCTCCCTGCCCTGGCTCCCCTTGTTTCAGAATGATTTGGGGTAGTCACATAATGTATCTGTAGCCCAGGCTGACCTTGAGCCTCATAATTCTGTTTCTGTCACCCGAGTGCTGAGATTGTCAGGGTGCACTAGCTTGCTCAGTTCATGCTGCTCTTCAGGAGAGCCTATTCATGACATATACAGCAACTCATACTTTCTGCACTGGGGTCTGAACCCCTAGCTACATGATGAGTTCCAGGCTGGCCTAAAGCAACAACAACAACAACAAAAAAAAACTAAATGTTTAATCAGCTTAGTTTTGGGGGTACTGTAGCAGGCTTTCTTGGATTTACAGTGAGTTTTGAAGGCTTGGCCGCATCTTATGCTTGTCCCTCTAGCTCTTATAAATTAAATTAACCTATTTCTCTTCATCTATGTTTTGCCTAAGGGCTTTTACCTTTCTTTCATCCTGTATGCTCTACTCTGTTTTTCTCCCTCATTCTAGTTTCCTACTTCTCTCTGCCTGTCAGCCCCTCCTATGTCTCTATAGCCTAGCTATTGTTAGACAAGGCTAAACAGAACACATCTTTACATAATTAAACACATGCAACATACCAAATGTAAGACATCTTTACATAGTTAAAGTAATATTCTACAACAGTATACTCTTTTTTTTTTTTTTTTGGCTTTTCAAGACAGGGTTTCTCTGTGGGCTTTGGAGGCTGTCCTGGAACTCGCTCTGTAGACCAGGCTGGTCTCAAACTCACACAGATCTGCCTGCCTCTGCCTCCCAAGTGCTGGAATTAAAGGCGTGTGCCACCACTGCCCAGTATAACACGATACTTTTTATTCTCTTTCCTATGACT